TGACAGGCTTTTTGGACCTAAACAAGAAATCTTCTTTACCGATAAGCCTATACTACAGTAAATTAAAGGGGAAGGATTCTTTGACTAGATATTTTGGGGTCACGTAACTTGAAAGCATAACTTGTAACTTGTTACAATTAAAGTTATCATCGTATAGTATAATGTTTTTTATAAAATTTTGTCATAATTTTTTCATTTTGATTTGTTTAATTATGTTTTCTAGTCGGGGATCTAATGGATAACTTCTTTATCTTCCAAGATAGTAATAAAATATGTGCACACTTTAAATTATATTGAGTATATTATTATATCGTGTAGAAATGAAGAGAACCTTAATGCTAATGAGTCTGTTGAATAAATGGTTGATGTATAGAGAAGTTCATTAGAATTTGATTCTTCTTGTACAAAAGAAATTCTATCGATTGAGTTAACTACACAATGCAAGTAAATATATGGTGCATTTTCAATTTGTCCATCTCCTTTATATACAAAGAATAAAAATATTTGAAGCCAATGAACATGAACCAACAATGTCTCATCATATAAAAATAATACGAGTCTTGACAAGTCTTTTTATGATTTTGTAGAGCATGTAAAATTCGAAGAAAACTTTCTTTCGCTTCATGAATAGACGGTCTTTTTTGAGTTCTCCTTTCAATTCATCATGCTCCATCAATTTAGGTTTATCTTATACGAATATGATGATCTCCTTCAAAAAATGTTTTTTGATTAGACTAATATGGTCAATCATGTCCACATCCCCATATATGCGTTGTGCATTGAAGAGTTCCACAAAAGTACTTGAACCGTTAAATATATTATGTACCAATATTAGATGAACAAAGAAATAAATGTGATGAAAGTTTAATCATAACAAATTTATATATAATTATTTATGAAATTTCACAAATAGCATTCGATAAACTTAGTTTCATCCTTATTCAGAGATTTGATTTGGGCTTGAGCCCAGAGGCGTATCCAGAAGGGGGTCACCGGGTTCACGTGAACCCATGTTCCCCTCCTGAAATCATATATAATAGTGTTATATATATTTTAAATATTTAAATATAGATATGTGAACCCACACTTGAAGTATTATACCGTGTGATTATGTTGGGTGCACCTCTCTAAGTGAGGTTAGAAATTTGAATCTTTTAGTTATCTTGTTTTATTTTCCTTTTTAAAATTGGGTAATGTCTCTCTAAGTGGTTTGGATAGGTCAAAATAACTTTGGACCTATAATTCTAAAATTTTAATTATTTTAATGATAAGAACCTAAATGTTAAACCGATCAAATTTATATCTTAGATCCACATTTTTGTAATAATGCACCCATCATCTCAAAATCCTGGATACGCCTCTGCTTGAGCCCCAAATTGCATCTCCAACCCTACACTCTATTTTACTCTCCAAATATAGAGTTTTCTGTTTTTTCAGATAACCAACTCAAATCCAATTTTCTATTTTACTCTCTAAAAAAGAACCTTTTTCTCTCTCCTCAATATTATAGTATTATTTCTATTTCATTCTTATCTTCTTATTGCATAATATGAATTCTTTGTTTCTTTTTCCCAATAATTACTTTATATAATTTTCATGTGATATAAAATTTTATTTTTTCAATATTTTTATCTAATATAAAATTATATTTTATTCTAAATTTTTAAATAACATAAATTGCAAGAAAATATTACTTATATAATATACAAATTAATGGATAAATTCAAATAAAAGTGAAATACAATACATAAACACTCAATTTTTGAAATTATTACGTTGCTCCCATAAATGCTCTATAGAATTACGGAGTTCAAAATGAACGTTTTTGTCCTTAATTTTTTAATGTCTAGCTAAACATTGTTCAAATCGGAGATTTTCATTTACCACAATTTCTATCGTTGGAGTTGGAGCCTCTACGACATCTTGAACTGGTGCATTAAGGTCACGTTCATCCTCAATTATCATGTTGTGCAGTATAATACATGTAGTCATTATATCCTGTAGCACTTCCTTTCTCCAAAAACGTGACGGTCCTGCATAATAACGACGAATGCACGTTCAACATCTTTTCGGCATGATTCTTGTTTCATCGAGAATTAATTATTATGTTATGTATTGTATTTATCTTGTATTTAAATTATTATGTTATGTATTGTATTGTTATCTTGTATTTAAATTATCATATTATGTATTGTATTTTTAAATAAAAATTTTAATCTTATCATTTTAATTTTGTGTATTCTTTATAGTGAAAATTAATAATAAAATCAAATTATATTATTGACGAAAAATAGAAAAAACTAAAATACTATTAATTCGGGATGAAAGTAGTGTATATATTAAATAATATATTTTTTTAAAATATTATATTACATTTAAAATGAATTATGAATATTAGATATTTAATTAATGATATTATATGTAAAATAATATTTTAATTAGAAAGTAATAGAAATAATAATAAAATATTCAAAAAGTGAAATAGAGAGTGTGAATAGTAGTTCTCCAAATTTGGAGAACTACTATTCACCTCTCTAAATATGAAGAATAGAGAGTGATATAGAGTTGGGTTGGAGTGTCCATTCTCTACTTTACACTCCAAATATAGAGAATGGAGAGTAAAATAGAGGTGGGTTGGAGATGGTCATATGAGATTTTCAGTGTGAATTGGCATGGTTGATATGTGTTAGATTAAAGAAAAACAAATTAGACCTAGAATGTAAAAATAAGTAGATGTTTCTAATTATAATTACTTCAAATTTATAAGGATTTTCATAGGATGTTACTTAATTACTCGTATTATTATATATTACCATCCCAATAATAATTTAGATGTGTAACTTAATTTAATTAATTAAGAAGTGTGATTACCTTGTAGAATATTAATCCCCTTTGTCCAATTACTAAATTCTTCCTAACTGCGAGTTAACAAGACTGCAAGCAAGGAAAATATTTATTCGTATTCAATGTTTGAACCAAACTATATCAACATATCATATAACAATTAAGTGACAAAACGAACCAAGAATATTTAGACCATGAACCGGAACTAGAAGAAAACTTTTTTTTTTCTCTCTCTTTATAGATAGACAGATTTTCTCAAATTCATTTTGAGGATAAATTTAGGTTTATATTCAATGACATTTGAGTGTATATAAGAATATGATTTTTGATTAGACTAATATGATCAGTCTTGTCCTTATTTTGTACATTGAAGAAAAGTTTTGAAGTCTTTGAAAGTTTTGGGCAAAGATAATTTCCACCAAACTAGTAAAGGCAAATCTAGATTGATTCGATCAATTTTTAAAGTTCTTAGCATTGAATTCGTTTTAAAATTACGAGTTCGGACCTACCATTATTGCAATATTAATAATTTGTACACATAAATTCATATTTCGCGTCGAAAATACTTAGTTCAGATGAATCGACCCTGCAAATTAAGTTTAAGGAGTTCTAAAAAGTTAACATTTACTGGTTGAATGTTAAATTATGTGTTAAAATTTTAAGTAAATTAACAGTTTGTATTTCTTATTAGCAACCAAGAAAAATAAAAAAATATTGAGCAAGCACCTTATTGCCCAATTACACCTATATCTTGATCAAGAAGAGCACTTAATCATGCGCGAAGGAAAGAGGCTTCACCACTTGAGTCGTATAGAGAGAGAGCTCGTGCAGTTTTTTTTTTATTTTTTATGATGGAGTCATAACTTATCTAAATTGATAGTCAATACGGGGCCTCAAGTCTCAACACTTATCAATACATGGTGCTCTTCAACTCATCGTTACTCTAGATGGTGAAGATGTTATCAACTGTGTCTATGTCATGTTTATTTGAGATTTCATAGTAAACTCGATCCAAGTAATATGAGTTTTAATTACTAGGAAAGAAAAGAAAATTTAATATTGATTTACCAGACTAATCCAATAGATTAATCCAACAAAAAAAACATAATTAAAAGTGATAATTACCTCTCCAATTGTCTAATCCAAAACCCCATGAATCTTATTTTCAACAAAGATTTTGAAATAGTGTTATATTCTATCAAAGTTAAAAAGTATTATTTGTGGCTATATTGTGATTACACTATTTTAGGTAACATAAACAGTTTCTTATGATTCCTCTTTTCCTTTTTTTTTTCCTTTCTGAAACATAAATAGGTTTGAAAAAATAATAGTGAGCCAAAAAGCATTATGAAAATGACTTATACATGATAATACAAGCATCACTTCTTTGGAGGAGAAATTTGTGTGTTAATTTGTAGAATTTGTTGTCAAATCTACCAAAAAAAAAAGGAAGAAAAGGAATTTTATTCAAAGATTAAATGTCTTGTTGATAGCAAGTTTTTGTTCTTGAAATTCTAAGGAACATGATTCTTCAATAGTAGTTACCTAATATTTGAGAATTTTTTTTTTTTTTGCCAAACTTATATTTGAAGTGGTGTTCGATACCTACTTTGACACTCGACTAATTCAAATTAATGCTGAGAAATTCCACTTTGGGAGAGTAAAGAACTTTTCTATCAAAGGCGACTCTAATCCACTTCGATTCTTACTAATACACGCATTAACTTATCTACTATTGTCTTCATATAATATAAAAATGAAAAAAGATTAAAAAATGCCCTTTACATATTAGAAATGGTTCGGAAATTCCCTCCTTCCACCTTTTGGATGAATATGAAAAAATCACATATTATTTTCGTTGTGCTGAAATTTGATCGCACTGGATGTTTCTGGCAAGAACAATCAAAACTCGTGAACCTTAGGTTAATAGCTCAATGCTCTATCAACTGAGCTATTTACAAACGAAACGATGTACGTAGTAAATAAGGATTGATACTGAAAAGAGACCGATTCCCCTACTTCTCATCACACTTATGGAGCGCTGCTTTGTATGAGGCTCGTAAGAACTTAATGGCTAAGCTCGAAAACTATAGGCAAACACACGAGCAGTAAAGTTCTGAGCTCATAACAAGCTGAACGGGCTCGTATAGTTACAAACTTGTCAACTAAGCAATAACCATTGATTGAATCCCAGAGCTATTGCATTATTCAATAGTTAAAAGTTATCATACAGTCTCAAATCCAGCAAGTTCAATCAAAACATGATAGACAGACAGTTTTCTTAACCTATAACACAGTTAGCCCCTCATTAGATATAGGGGAGTATTTGCCATATGGTTGAGTCATCAAGCATTTCGTCGATAAAGATGATTAGATTATGATTAATTTAAGCAGCTGCTTGAGGCATTTCAGATTCCTGCTGTTGTTTCCACTGCTCTGGAGTGAGCGCTTTTGTAATAGAGAGAGCGTGGATTTCCTTCATCTCCTCGGCCAGTGCACCATTAACCATTCTGTGCCTCTCAAGCAATCTTTTGCCTTCAAATTGTTCTGTCGCGATGACTATCGAGAATTTTGCACCACATCTGAGAAAGAACAAGTCCAACGTAAGAAAAGAGATCCTAAAAGAATGGAACTTCAACTCCATGCATAAGAACTTACCCCCCAGACATATCAATCACTTCCTGCAAAAAAAATAAAGGATCAAAAGAAATTGTTAGGTACTTTTACTATGCAAACATAATGGAATAAATAAAATATGAAGGTTTTTCAGTGTTTGGTAGAAAAATTAGAACATAATAAGTAATGGAGTAGTGCTTTTGACTCTCCAATGATTGCCAAGATGGTGCATGAAATGATCAAAGAGGAATTAATCAACACACTCATTTGACCTGTGGAATTTTAAAAGCAAAGCACTAATGCTGGTGACATTTTTGATCCAAGTGATGGCCTTGAAATGCATAAGTTGGGTTAGAAGCAACTTTGCCTTCCAATGTGCATGATTTAAACCCTACCTCAGATGTGTGTTGTTTTTTATGAGTGCACAAATCTACCCTTATCCCAAAAAAAGTGTGCACACCTAAATCAAACCCAGGAACTACCACATCCAACGTTATCTTCAATTAAACATAGACTAGGAAACTTCACTGGCTTTCCAGGATTATCATAGAACTCCAAGTATCTCAACCCTCAAGAATAGGAGGTACAACCAAGAACATCAAATATGCGAGCCAAAACGTACAGATAAAAATATATAAGCAAATGATGAAAAGCATTCCTATTCGGTTAATAAATAACTATCATAGAGGATAATAGACAATTAACTATAGCATGCCCACAAACTGCTGAGGTGACTAAACAAATTAGCGGCTTTTATACATCAAAGTTTACATATTATTTATCCCATATGAAGATCCTGTGCTCCAATATACATATGATCAGTGTCTGCTGGTTATGTGAAACAGGATATCAACTTCAAGGATGTTTTGCCTCATTAGCCCACATTCAGTGCTTATTTCTTAGTTATGCTCCCCGCAAACTCCTACGGTCATACCTCTCTTAAACCTGACATAAATACTGGTTCTTTGCTTTCCTTCTCGTTATTCTTTTCCAATTGAGAAAGTGTAGTTAAAAGATAATGCCTCAAATTGAGTAATGCTTGAAGCTTTTATTTATATAGCACCTTTATGTTTAGAGATTGACATACACTTAATTAGATACAAAAAGAAGATCTGCAACCTACATGACAGGCGTCTCTCTTATTGACACAAAATAAAGGTAGTTCATATATGTATTCCAATAAAAGAAAAGCTCTAAGGTTCCTCAATGCTTTAAGGTTCTTCCACCTAGCCCTTAATGTACCTGAAATCTTAGTATGGCGTCTCTTATTGACATAAATAATAGGTAGCTCATATATATATTCCAGGAAAAGAGCAACTATCTCAGGTACCACAATGCTTTAAGGGGTCGTTTGGATTAGAAGCAATTTATACGGGAATTAGAAATGCATGGATGGCAATGTAGATATTGTAATGTAGGGATTGAAATGCAAGGTTAAGGTTATAATACAACAATTGTAGTGGAAGGATTATTTATTCAATGGATGTTTGATTTGTTATACTAAAGTGCATATTTAAAAATATTTTTTTTATTCTTTTGACAAAATAAATATTGGATACCACATATTTTGTTATTTTTGTCATCGTATAATTTTACTCCATGTTAGACTAATCCCCACATTCTTATTGCACATTTTATCTTGCAGAAAATAATATATAGATACCCGCAACTTATGAGGAAATCAGTTATGCGACAAGAGAAGTGGAAACAAAAATTGTACTATAAATATCCTAAATTTTATGTGGAAACAAAAAGTGAAACCAAACATTATATTAACACTAAGGGGTCGTTTGGTAGAGTGTATTGGAGAAAATAATGCTTGCTTTAGTGTGATGTATTACTAGTACCTTGTTTGGTACACTTTTCTAACCTATGCATAACTAATGCTTGTATTAGTAATACACTCTATTGTGTATTGAAGAGTGTATTACTAATACCATCTATTTCTATGCATTAGTAATGCAATGGGTTCTAATGCATGCATTAACATTATTAAAGACACAATTGCCCTCAAAAACTTTTTTTACATCCTCTCCACTATATTTGTGGAGGTATTTTTGTAAACAATATTTTTTCTAAGAAAATTATGTAATGCATAATATGTTTAGTACACCAAACCAAACATTGCATAAAAAAAACCTCATCATATCTAACGTAAGCATAACTAATACAAGCATTACTAATACACTATATTTTGCATTATTCTTATACACTACCAAACGACCCCTAAGTTGATGTGGAGATCACTTTCTCCACTACTCCCAACCAAACATCACCTAAGTTCCTTCCCCCAACCATTGATGTACCTGAAATCTTGCTATGATGGTATATGCTCTTGAGATAAGGACTTATTAGAGCACCTTTTTAGAAAACACTTCAACAAGTTTAGCTCCTTTTTTAGAAAATCATTTAAGATGTTAAATGTTCTAACCCTGTTTGTTTCCAAGACTGGCAATTTATGGCTAGTGATCAAAATCAAGGAAAAAGGTTCAACTTTATCACTGAATATTCGGTTTGTCTTACATTTGCCTGCGGTTACTTCCCTTTCCGGTTCATGAAAGCCCCGAATTGCTAATTCCGTCCCATATTTTTCCCTCCCTCTAACGGATGTCCAGCATGGCTCTATCATTTTTCACGATAGAGCCAGTCAGCCAGGTAAACCAAATATACCCAGAACAATTGAAGAAGTCAAATATACCCTGAACAATTGATAAGGTCAAATATACCCTACGTGGCTAGACCAACTCTTTCAAGGTGGAGGGGCACATTTCAGACGAAAGATAATGGTGGGGGCTCCTTTGACCGGAAGGGTAAATAGAGGAAGGATATAATATAAATAAAAGTATTGGGTATATTTGGACCTTTTCCCATCAGGAAATGCTAAAAAATGAACTATATCTCACTCGCCTTTCCCTCACTTCAAACAGATGTACTATGGAATGTACCATTTTCACCTTCTTGCGCAAACGGCCTACTTGGTTGAGCTACTTGCTTAGACAACGTACTTGTTTGGACGTCCTACTTGGTTGAGTTGCTTATTTGACATCCTAGTTACTTGAGCTACTTGAAACAAGGGAGACTCACATGCTTAAGGAAAATTTATGACCTACTAGTCTAAGCAAGTAACTAGTAGGTAGGGGTGCGCATCGGTCGGTTCGGTTCGGTTTTAGGTGTTATTGGTTCGGTTTATCGGTTTTCGGTTTGTAAATACTTCAAACCGATAACCAAACCAATAACATATTTCTTATCGGTTTTTGGTTAATCGGTTTATGGTACTTAACGGTTCGGTTTTCGGTTTAACCAATAAGAAAATACTCATATATATTATATACACGATAAGAAAATTTTCAAATAAACCATATGATTTTTCTAGCATTTAGCATGAAAGTAATAATCATAAAAGTAACAATCATTTTTCTTGCAAGTTTAGACATTAGACACATTCAAAGGAAAAAGTGTGAAAGTAACAATCGTTTAACCATTAACAAAAAGTGTGAAAGTAACAATCGTTTAACCATTAACAATAAGACTAGTAAATATAGCATAGTCTTATTGGGTTATCGGTTTAACCATTAACAAAAATTATAAAACCGAAAACCGAATCAATAACCCAATAAAAAATTTTGCAAAACCGTTTAAAAATCGTTAGCCCAATAACCCAATATCAATAAACCAATAGTGTTTTTTTCGGTTCGGTTTATTGGTTAAATCGGTTTTTGCACAACCCTACTAGTAGGTGCCTACTTAAGAACAAAGGTCCAAAATGTAAATAAGTCAAGTAGTTGCATCACCTACTTAAGAAGGCAGTCTTATGGCCCAAAGATAAAGGGCCAAGAGGTGGGTTATCGTGGGTAAGCGCAAGACCCATCTACCCCAGCCCATTAAGGGCTATATAAATGTATAAGTAGCTTCATGGGTCATTTACACTTGTAATAAATCAGCTTTCATCTCTCTCCCTCTCAATCACGTAAGAAATTAAGTTGGATTTCAAAAAGTTGAATTAGTATGTACAACAATTATGAGATTGTTTAGTTGTGTCTGTTTTCTGGTTAGCGTAAGTAGGATGCACAAAAGACAAAGCTCGCCGTGGAGAATGACTATGGGAAGTGTGGGGGCATTTAAGACCACATTATCCACACTCTCCATGAGAGGCGGCTGCTTGGCTGCCCAAGTCCTATAACTTCCTTCACTTATTCCCTTTGAAAAACTTTCCAATCTACTTGAAGTCAAGGAGGATAGAAGGTGATTTAGTGGACTGATTTTCTGGAATTGAAGAAAGAATTCAAGAACCCTACAAGGAATTAGGGCGGTTGTCTCACTTGAGAGAGATATGAGAGCTGGTTGTGTAATGTAAATGAAACCATAGAGTTGCTTATATGTTTATATAGCCCTTAATGGGCTGGGGCAGATGGGTCTTGGGTTTACCCTAGACAGCCCACATCTAGTCCCATATCGTTGGTCCATAAGCTTTTAAGTAAGTGATAAACCTATTGCCCTTTATTCTTAAGTAGGTGATGCATCTACTTGACTACTTTAAATTTTGGCCTCTTTGTTCTTAAGAGGTGATGCACCTACTAGTCACTTAGACTAGTAGGTCATTAATTTTCCTTAAACACGTGGCTCGCCCTTGTTTAGCAAGTAGGATGTCAAGTAAGTAGCTCAAGTAACTAGGACATCTAAGCAAGTAGCTCAACCAAGTAGGACGTCTAAGCAAGTAGCTCAACCAACTAAAAAGTAACAACCCCATTAACTTATTTTAATAAACATGGGGCAAGTGATATATGATATTAAATAAATTTCAAACTTGACCCATGAATTATCAACAAAATATTAATAATTTAATATTAACCATCAATTGAATAACTATAGTTAACAAATAGTCCAAAATACCCATTTAGAATCAATCGGAAGAGTCATTTATGAAATAGGAAGCTCAAGTACTCAAAACGACCTAGCAGGTCGTTACATCAGAGATACCAATTTACCCACCATTCGTCCCCAAACAGTCAAAAGAAAGGTTAGGGTAAGAAAGGGCACCCGACTCGATTAAAAAATGGATATCTTT